TAAATGTGGGTCAGTCTAATGTCCAAATTGTGTTTAGGACTTTCGTATCTTTTAACACTTGGTGCACTTAGTAGTTTGGTTTGGCCATTTTTAGTTTTAAACCATCATTACGTTTTTTTAGCCATTTAAAAATCAATACTCAATATCTTTATGATGGTAATTTCGAGCTTAACAACTTAGATCTTGAAATATTATGTCTACGCTAGTGTATGTTTTTTTTTTCGTGTAAGACTACTTATATTGACTGCTAACAGTTTTGAAAGGATCAATTATTACAGCATTGTGTTTGTTCATCAATAATTTCAGGAGTGGCTTCAACTTACGCTATTACGATACGGGTCTTACTTACGACCACCAGGACTTTGTTGCATAATTCGATTTCGCATAGATTTTGCGTACTTATTGTTTGAATAAGAATTTAACTTTAAAAAGGAACAGAAAACCATTTTTCTCCTCAAAGATACCTCTTAGAACTATGGAGACGTGTCTCTTGGAAAGCTTATTCTAAGTAGCTTATACTTAGAAGCAATTAACTAATCGTCATTTATAAAAAAATAAGGTAATATAGGGCTTCTACACCTTATATTATTCATATATCAACCACAAAAATATCGCAAAAACCGTTATTAGCGGGCTTGATTGTGACTTGGGATATGCATTTTGGATGCCCAACTTATAAAATGAATATTGCATGTTTTCTGATTATGAGTAGCGTTTCCCATTTATGATTTTTTTTCCATTACCGGTTTTTTACCGGTATTACATTTTGTACGAAAATCGAAATCATTATAAACAATGTGCATTAACCTTGTAGTGAATATAGTCAAGACTAATCACAATATTTATTTATTTATTCGTCGTCAATTAATCGTAGACCATTATAGAGAGAGTACATTTTTGTTCGTCCGTGACTGCGATTGCAACCCAATTTAGTGCAACTTGTTTTAAAAAATCAAAGAAAAATAACATGGTATTGAAAATAATTTAACTCATCCTAAATGTGGACAAAATCGTTAAAAGAAAATCGTGTAAAACCAGAATTGATGGTACCGTAAAACGGGGTATCTTTGATAATGCGGGTAACTTTCATAGTAGAATATAATGATTAAATTTACACTCTACACTATTTCCGAATTGGAAAAATTGGTTCCATTTTGTAGCTAAGGGTAGTACCTTTGATTTCGTATTGAGTATTTTGCATGATGTTTTACATATTTTCCAAATACCTCGAAAACAATGTTTTCTTGTTTTTTTGCCTGATTGAAAAGGCACTCAAGCAATCACTTATTAAATGTTTTTCCTATATAGTCATGACAAAATCAATATTGTTTTTATATTGCTTATGATGTTTCTGATTATATACTCATTCAAAGTTTCTTATTTCTGGATCAAAATTGTTTGCGAATCTCGCGTGGTTTTCTACTGTCATTGAGTATTATCAAAGTAACCCCAAAACAAAAATCTGACGTTCGATCATAAGACAATAAAAAAAGTGCGAATGCAATAATTCCTGGTAAACATGTTACCAATGGATTGACTCTAGGATTCCCAGTACTTGTTTTAAAAAATAAAAATTTGAAAAACATTCATTGCTGTAAAAAAATATTTAGAATATACTTCAAAAAACTATCAAAGTTTCCCCGTTTTACGGTACTTTAATTGTCTAACCATTTCCTTCCTAACCGGTAATTCACAACTTTTCAGATCGCCTTAACACTTAAATAGTCAGCATTGATTTATGTTTCTCTGTGTTTTCATTATACTCTTCCTTTTTATCTATTTTACCAGTGCAACTTTTGAGCTATGAAAAAACTCGATGAATTTTGGTGTAATAGACATTTGAACTAACACATGGCGATTATGAATTTCTCGGATTCTTCCTGTTTTTTTCCCGGAATTTTGGCAATTTTCCCGCTTATGCGAATATACATTAAATTAAGCATGACTGAATAGGGCAAGTTGGTTCAACTAGTACATTTATTGATTTATTTGTTTCTCAAAATCATTAGGTTCAATGCAACTATTTTGAATTAGTTTCTTCATCCCAAATATTCTAACTTTGTCTATGTCAGATTAACAGCCTTGGTAGATCACTCAGAACTCTTAACATGTTACTTTCAGAATAACCAGAACAGAACTCAATACTCCAAAAATTTAGGGGAGTATATTCACGGTTCGGTTTGGCGTAGGGGAAGACGGTGTAAGACCGCAACCGTTACTTCCCTTCCGAAGGAAGACGTGACTACCACCGACCTCGGCTGGGATTGAACTCAGACCTATTGGGGGTGATAAAGCAGTCACGCTTACCACTACACCACAGGTGCCGGTCATCAAATCACATGAGAACTTTAAAAAATTGTCATTGGTGGTTAAATGGAGTATGGCCACTCACGATACCACTCGGGAGCAAAACAACATTTATTTTATTGTGGGAATGTAAATTAGTAAGAATGCTCACATCTCACCATAGATGGATGGATCCAGGTTTTTATTCTTGATTATAGCTACAAGCAGGCATGGAAAATCATTTGCATTCATTTCATACATTCATTTACATTCATTTGCCTCTAACTTTTTTATCAACAGCATTCCGCAAAATGATGTATAGAGCTTTTGTAGGTTTTGTTATTCGCTACAACTTTTGCTCATACTTCAAATCTGTATCTCTTATGCATCACGAACTAGAGCGGGCAGAACTTGTTACTGTTTTTCAGTGAATGTAAAATACATTCACTGAAAATCAGTAGTGACTTCTGTTCGCTCTGGTTCGTCATGCATAAGAGAGACGAATTTGACTTGTTAACAAAAGATGTAGTTAATAACAAAACCTACAAAAGTTCTACAAATCATTTTGCGAAATGCTGTTCAAGAAAAAAGTTAGAGGCAAATGAATGTAAATGAATGCATGAAATGAATGCAAATGATTTTCCATGCCTGGCTACAAGTACAAGAAATCAACATCACTGGAAAAAAACATCAGTTTCAATCAAAATCATTTTGTAATGAAGAAGGGTGACGCTTTTACCCCGTCAAAAGTGGTCCGTCTTAACCCTGGTTTAAATTTGTCAGAATATCGTATATTTTCACATGTTTCCTGCATTTTTACATACCTTTATCTAAAGTCACAGAAGCAGTATAGCCTACAGAAGGTAACAGGTACCAACAAACGTCAGAAAACACCGTTTGTTCATCAAAAAGTCTTATATTTATTGTTTTCAAAATTAGATCGCGAAAGCCCCACCGTACGAGAGGTTTGCTTTTATTTTTTTAAGCTTCACTACTTCGGGGGCTACAAGGTGTTTCAGAATGATAAAAACATGTTGATAATCTTTTCTGCATTGAATATTGGTAAGAATCTTGAGAATTTCCCATATAACTGGCTGTGGTCCTTCTTACCCCGCCGGGCGGTCATACCCCGTATGCCCCTAACTGATATCTCGCTCACGCATACTAACGCCACTAGCACGTAGATAAATTTTCCCCCTCTCTGATGGTAGTGTAAGTATGCGTTGGCGAGCTAGCAGTTACGCCTAATCGACCTAATCGACGATCAAGTGCATTGTTTACAAAAACTGATGCGTCGCTTGGAAAAAATAATCGAGAATTGGCCAGACAATTGATGAGTTGCCGCAAAAACTGCTGCTAGATGTCGCTACTAAAAATGATGATGATTGTGAAAAGGTGCGAAAAAATACATGAAATTCAGCATTAAAATGCAACTTTCTTAAGACACGCAAGGATTTGATGTGAAACAACCATTGAAGCATGTAAGAAAACTCTTTTCCGGGTAAACTGGCATACTAGGTACATCGGCTAAATAGGTTAATTTTCAGATCACTCTCTATCAATTTTTCATGAAAAAAGTAATTCAACATGAAGCAATCACTTGGAACAAGATCAAGAATCATTTAAAAATTGAATGCAAATGGATAAATTGCACTTTAGATTCATGAGGTGATCATGAGTGTTTTCTCATATTATTACATTTTGTAACCATACCACTTCCCCAACCGAGATTAATGTTGTATTGAATACATTCAATGAATTAAAATCATGGTTGATTTTTGCAACAGACGTGGGGTGTTTGTATCAAATAGTTTTTGTTTTCGCTTCCAAAATCGATATTTTTGGAAAAACGTTCAAATCTCCATACATTATTTCCGGATAACTTGGTGGGGCCATGCTTATTTGTTTATTTGTTATGTTTGCATCAACAGACTAGAAATAGTCGCAAGGATGTGATGTGTAGTGTTGAGATCATAACTAAAAGCATGCGCAGTGCGTGGTAAACATGCAATCATTCCACTATTTATCAGTTGATAAGCTTATATACAATTAAGATTAAGCTTGCATACAAAATAAATCGCCAGAACTTTCTTTTAATCAAGAAGAAGAAGCCGCACACTTAATAGAGACTACTAAAGTGCGGTTGTTTTCATCAGGAGAACTTTTTGCTATAGAATAAATTTTCCTGATGAGCAATCTCTGGAGACTCCGTAAGCCACTATGGGAAAACATTGCATTAACGTACCACCAGTATAAGTGCATTTATCCTAGTATTTTTTTTTAGTATTTCAAAAAATCAAAAAACCTTCTGCGAAGGGAAGGGTTTACAGTTTTAGTTAATAATTTATTACACTTATTACACGGTGTTTCTTTAATGCGGATTTTTTAACGTGGAAACACATTTTTATGCGTTTTGACAAGCGTTTTTTACACGCTGCACATCCAATTCCATTGTATATAATTTTTAACTGTTTTGTATCTTGTTGTTGTTGTCGCCAAATCATATAGGGTAAACGCTCCTATAATTGAAATTCCATTAGCAACTATAGGAACCTAACGCTTCTAACTTACCTATAGAGCATATTTCGGTTCAGTTTGAAGAAACCCATTTTGATTCGCATAAAACAGTATGAAAGCGGATTTTTGATAAGTGCAAGTGAGATAAACATTTCTATTTTTGAACGCATATCACAATAAAACTTGTTTTTCAATAGGTTAGCTATTTAGATACTGGATTAACGTCAACATACTTTACTGACGCAGATCAATTGATTGTGACACCCAGCGGATCTCCTACTACTGCTACTACATCACCAGCATCTTCTCAGCAACGTTACAATCGCCGCTACAAAACTCAACTTAGAGATTTTTTGTCCACCTGCCGATCTAAACGAAAACTGCAGCAATCTCCGGGAGGGCAGGTAATTATGGAAATTTTACAGTAATTACATTTTTTTGCACAGCTGTAGATAGATGGATGTCTAAAATCTTCGCTGCTAGCAAATATTTATTGACTTATCGGCATTTCGTAAGCGTGGATTTGACAGTTAACCCATGGATTATCTAGCCAATCAGCAAATCAATCCCAAACCTTTACAGATAAATCTTGAATACTTAATCAACGAGCAGCTTATATTTCAGAAATGTATCTACCTCAAGTGTACGCTTTGAGAAGCAACTTAGAAAGTTAGACAAAAATAAACAGTTTATTACGGATCTTTTTAAATAATCAGGGAAAACCCGTAAAACACCAATTGCTTACCTCTTAACTGTAATAAAATTCAGCTTACTTGAAGTAGAAAGGACTCTATTAAGTAGTAAATTTTTTAAGCTGAGGAAATTATTTAAAAAAAAAAGCTTATTACAATGAATAATATCCAGGGAATACATAAACCATTTGACGAAGAGAGTAAAATATTGATATGAATATATTTTTTTCAGGTTACTTCCCCAGTCCAAATGGTTGAGTACGTGAACGACCCAGCCGTGGCCGTTGCAGCTGCCTATTCAAACTTGAATCCAATGTATTCAACATCACCATACGTTTCAACCGAGAGCATGTACATGACACCCCCAGCTCATTCGTCAAATTTTTATTCAGTATCTGACAACATTTTCCACCAATACCGGTTGCAAGGCGTCAGTGGATATTTCCCCGAGTATGCATCAACTCCAGCATCATATATAACAAACAATGGATTTGTTCCTTATGAAGGTTATGGCATTGCTAAAGACGAACGATGGCAAGAGACTGAAAAATGCATGCCACAGAACGATACTATCAATCGTGATATGGATAATGAATACGAAAATTCTGATATCCACAAGAAACACAAACAATCTCCTTCCCTAGAAGACGTTTCAAATTCGGCGAAACCAGTTTCATCTGTTAGCTTAACTAACTCTAATAATGTGATCAACAGTAATGTTATCAAGAATCCTAACACAACCAAAAGTCGCGAAACGAATGACATGCCACACTCCGACTTGAAAGAAGAGGCATTGTCACCGCAGCATTTTGAACCTCGTCGACAAACTGTTCTTATGTGGGGTACGTCACAAGCAACAAAACACAAATTCAATTGTTCAACCTACAACGATAACAGTTGTTCCAATAACACTACTAGTACTACTACGAATTGTTCGTCTTCACAATCTCCTGCTTCCAATGATCGAAATGTTGTTAATTCAAATGAAGAAACCCATTTAAATCTCGAAAGGAATGAAACAGGAAAGGTAATCGTTGAGGGTGGATATTTTTTAATTACAATGCACGATTGAAACAAAGCATCAAAGCCACCTGTCACAGCGGAGTATTTAACTATTGATAACGTGCACTAGCATTCCTTAATGATAATGATCATTCCGAAGTGATTATTTTAGCTGCAGCTACCACGTGTAGACACTACCTTTCTCGAATTGTATAGTAAGGTGAGGCATAATAAACCGATACCAGATTTAGACCTTTTTGAGACACTTCTCCTAACAAATCCATTTCAAATATTATTCGAAAGATTTCCAACATGAATTGAAAAGTTACGAATTAATGTTCGTTCGAAAATACATTCTGAGAATCAATGTAATACCAACTTTAGGATCTAAGATTATTCCGAGAAATTATTAAGATCACCTATTAGCCTGGTCAATAAGAGTGCTGTTAGAAGGTCAAGGTCGTTGCGGGTTGAATATTTTCTGGATTTCCTAGTATGCGTCAGTATGCTTGCCACAAAACACATTAATGGCATAGTTTTGAAAAGCTCTAAATTATTTAACAACTGACGTTTCTAATCACAAATCAGTTCAATCTGTAAAAATCTGAAAATGAGAAAACAGCGTAAATGGTAAAATTTACAACTCTACACTTATTTCGGAGGGATAGAGGAATTTCATGCCAACTCGACAACAGATTTCAATGAAACTTTGAGGTTGTACAGACTTCGTCTACTTAAGCAACTTTGCCAGCTCTTTTTTCTTGAAAATAATCTAGTCAGCACTGAAAGAAATCTAACAAGGAACGGTCACGAGTTTTCAAATGGAATTCTTTTTTTTTCGGATATTAAAAAATGAGTCTTCATAGTGCTTGTGGTGAGCATTAAACCCAATAATATTTTTTGATATTTGATTTTGATACTGAGAAGATATAAAATCTTTTTTCCTACACAAGGGCTCATTTTGCAATGTAGACGAGGCTCGGTAGCTCAGTGGTTACCGTTTCTGCTTACTGAGCAGAAGGTCGGGAGTTCAATCCCAGGCCCGTCCCCTTCCTTGCAATTTTTCACTTTGCCTTATTCTATACCCACTAGATTTTAATGAAAACAAATTCTTCTTTAACACCGATCGCATCACTTACCACAGTGTGGGTCCTGATGAGTGCGCGCGTGCGTGTGTGTGTGTGTGTGTGTGTGTTTGTGTATTATAATCGCTCTACCAAAAAACGATCCCTGCGTGTGCGTGCAACCTTTCCCCACATCCAACATCCCAGTGATTTCTCGTGGAAGCACAGAGGATTTCTCGGTTTCCTTCACAGCGAGTACCACGTCAACACATTCCTTCCCATTCCCTAGTTGACCTGCATTCGGACACGGCCGGCGCTGGTATTGCTAAATATTAGATCTCCAGTTCTTGCACATTGAGGATGAATGTTAGTCCCAAACATCATCTGTTGGTTCTCTGTGTAATTGCAGCTGATCTGGTAATAACAGAGCAGCAACCGTGGGCGGTCAATCTGATTTTTTTTTGATTGAAGGGCCCATTTTGCAATGTATGGACGACTTGTAGATAATTAAGCAGTCTTTCTAGAAAAAAGTTGCATAATTATACAAAAATAGGGGTGTTGAGAAAACACAGTTTTAATTTATAATTGTTTTTTTTTTAGTGTACCTAGTCTACAATTACCTTCATGTGACATTTTTTTTAAATGAAAAAAAAAACAAAAATGTTGAGTTGGTTTTCTTAATTTGTTCTTTCCAGGAAAGTAGGTATACAAAGTAGCTTTCACGAAGTTTGTACATCCATAAAGTTCCGTTGAAATCTGAGAGAGTGCTGCCAACCAATAGAAGCTTTGTGATAAAATTAGCCTTTATTATTAAACATTTGATAAAATATGGTGAAATTTTATGTTATACCCAAAACATGAGTGAAACTGACTTGCAATCACAATTTACGTAAATGAGAAAAATAACGAATCTATTAAAATCGTACTACAACTTCAAAGAAGGTTGATGACATACAATAGTCTTTTTTTACCATTATGGTGATAATTAGGATGATGCATCCACGCTAACGTTGAACTTGCCAAATTAACAATTTGAATATAAATAATTATGTTTTATTTCAAATCAAATCACAACTACATAAAGAATTCCATTATTGGCTAACAAGAGGGAATTTTGAAATAACGATTTTTTCCTGATGTACTGTAACTCCTTTTTTCCCTTTGTCGAATATCAAATAAGGGAGCGTTGACGGTATAACATATGAGATAATGCAGGCCACTAATTTTTCGAGGTTATTAAGAACCATTTTTTTCTACTCATTCGATAGCACTATTTTCAACCCAAATATTTTTTTCTGTTACTCGGCACAAAATACTCCCTCATCTTTTGAAGCTGAATCACCAGGAAAAACTGAATTTTAAAAACAATTTTTGTCGAACAGCTTCGTAGATGACTAAGATCTAAAGATGATCATACACAGGAAGTTCATATGTACGCATGCGCCGATTAGTGAGATTTTTTTAAACTTACTTATCTACCATACTGTAACCGCAAAATACCCAATACTATTTTTTTATTAGAGTGATTTTTAGCCAGTGGCTGGGTTCATCACTTTAATACCCGATACTATCAAACACTCAACATTTACTACAAAGTAAGCATTTACGATGATTTTACACTTTAGCTACACTAATTGACAGTTCGTTTGGCTACATCCTACTTCGTCTATTTGTTGCAAAGATTTGTTTTTTTTTTTTTATTTATGTCGTCAATCAATCGTAGACCAATTACATGCTTATTAACTATGTCTTATGTCATGCCTGGTTAACATTGAAAAGATTGCTTGTTTTAGTGTTATTTATTCATTGTTACGTCAATTGATTGGGAATATGCGTTATAGCAGGACATAATTCTATTCAAAGGCCAATTTTTAGCTTAGTATGTTAATGTTGACTGTTAATGTAAAACAAATTCCTTTTCTTTAGAGAGCGAATGGGAGTATAAAAAATTATATTTTCTAAAATTACCGGAACATTAACTCTTTGAGCAATAACATCATTTATAAATGTTACCTTGGCGAAGATGGAAGCGGTAATCTCGGCTAACCTAATTTTCAAAGGGCAAACAACCAGAACTGTTTTTGAACGGACTCAATGCGGTTTATATATGTATCCTGATACGGAGCCCACACTACGCTACAGTATTCAAGAAGAGGTCTCACATAGACCACATACAATGTTTTGATAATGTAAGGATCATTGAAGTGCAAACTAAATCTTTTGATAAACCCTACACGGCAAGAAAAAATACTCAAAAGTAAGTTGAGGTCCGCCGTTGAGTGAATCAGAAAAGCGGCGTTGGTTAAAATTTACCCAACTATTGAGTAAAAATAAATGAACTCATATATAAGTATATTTTCATTGAGGTTGCTCTTATGCGCCTTTAACCATTTCATTCTCACAAGCGTTGATAGACGAGTGGTCAACACACGGGCCCCGTAATCTCAACGTCCATGGTTCGGTTCCAGTCTGCTCCGTTTTATTATTTTTTTGTCAACTTGGTCAACGTGGATTCATGATCAGGATTACTCAAAATTGAGTTTTCTTCTTTAACTTAATTTTACCTAGCCCCACGGAAGCCACGTGATGAGTGAAAGGAACTCAATTTTGGGTACTTTTTTCTTACCGTGTAGCATGTTACTTGCTTTATATATAATGTTATTGTAGTGATCAACAAATGATAGCTTAGAGTCGAGAACCAACTTAAGTCCCTTACTTGATTACACCTTTCAAATGTTTTCTCATCAAGGGAAATTGTGTCATTTACTATGGTATGCTTTCTTGTAAACGATATAGAATTACATTAATTAACGTTAAGCTCTAACAAATTCTTCTTACACCAAGTGTAAAAAATGTCAACTTCTTGCTGAAGCAGCTTCAAAATGTACTCTATATCATTGACAAATAAGATGAATAGTAGTGGACCAAGATGCGAACCTTGTGGCACACATGAACGACAGACGACAATTTTCCTTTAAATCTTACTCTTTGCGTTCTCCTTGACAAGTATGACTCAATCCATTGCAGTAGCCTGGTATTAAAACCTAACTTGGATAACTTGAAAATCAACAGTGGTATATCCACTCTATCGAACACTTTACTAAAATCAGTATATAATGTTGCACTACATTTTGATTTTTTTCACACGAAACAAAACAAAACAAAACTGCACAACGAAGAGAGCTATTTGATGGCACGAATGCTAGTAAGAGCAATTATTTTCCATGATTGCCAAAAAGTGTTTTGTGCCTCCGCTTATCTATAGAATCTATACTACCCATAATCGCATATCAGTCCCATCTTTGCTTGATTTCCTATCCATATGGATCTGATTAGCTCAGTCGGTAAAGGCGCAGCTACAAAGCAAGACCATGCAGGAGGTGGCTGGGTTCAATTCCCGGCCTGGTCTAGGAATTTTTCGGTTTGGAAAGTTTCTCGACTTCCCTGGGCATATAGGGTATAATTGTACTTGCTTGCCACACAATTATACCAATGCAAAAATGGTACAGGCATCGAAAGCTCTCAATTTATAACTGTGGAAGTGCATCTAGAACACTAAGTTGAGAGCACGCAATAAGCTAATATGTGATGTGCAATAAGCTTGAAATGCGAAGAAGAAGAAGAAGAAGATGGGACTGATTATGGGCAGTATAGTATCTATAGACCAATCCGGTCTTAGCCAAGTCTTTGACACAAACAAAGGGAAAAAACGCCATAGCGGCTTCATCGCACTACTGGGTGCAAGGAAGGAACCGGTGAAACACTTTCTGTATCGAGTGACATAGTCGCGTGTGACAAAAAGCTATTTCGGGTTGGTAGTAAGTGCGGACCAAGATTCGGACCAGCACTTTCCGTACACGAACGAGCACTTAATCAGAAATTCGTGTGTTGGCCGTTGTCGTTCGATACGGCATGCAGGCTGTTTGGCCGGTCTATACATTGCCTCCCGTCCTACCTGAGCGTTCATGTCGCCGATGACGATTTTGACGTCCCGTTCCGAACAGCCGTCGTACACCTGCTCCAGCTGCGCATAGAACGCTTCTTTCTCGTCGTCGGGTCTCCCTTCGTGTGGGCAGTGCACGTTGATTCCCTTAAGCCCTTAATCCTCAACTTGCACATCCTGCCGGCTGCCAACCAATCAGGTGTTGGCGCATCTTACCCAGCACTACAAAGCCGATTCCCAGTTCGTTGGTGGTGCCACAGCTCTGGTAGAAAGTAGCCGCTCGATGCCCGCTTTTCCATACCTTTTGTCCCGTCCAACAAAGTTCCTGCAGTGCTACG